TTTGTCCTCTCATGGAAGACAGGGTTAGATGCAATGGCTAATGCAGGCTTACTATCTGAAAAGATGGAAACAGGACCTATATGAGTGATATTGAAATCTTGAAACAGATACAGAAACCATTGAATTTCACAGGCAGTGGAAGCCAATGATCTGTATTCTGCTTCAGCAGAAGATCTACTGATTGTGGACTGCTTTTTAGATTTCCAGGAAATTAGTGAGTTACCAAGAAATATAGTGTATCCTGTAACACTTTTCCTAGTATCTAAACAGCTAGCCCAATCACTATCACAATAAGCTTTTAATGAAATATTGAAGTTTCTGGAGAAGAAGAGGCCCTTACCAATAGTACCTTTAACATACCTTAGTACCTTGTGTGCAGCTGAAAGGTGATGTGATGAGGGTTTAGCAACAAATTGACTTAAAGTTTGCACACTGTATGCTATGTCAGGTCTGGATATTGTTAAATATAGAAGCCTACCTATTAATCTTCTATATTCAGTGGCATCAGCTAGAGTATCAGATTCAGTAGCAGTTTGAAATTTTTGGGTTGCATCCATTGGTGTATGAGATGGTTTACAGCCTAAGAAACCAGTATCCTCTAATATGTCTAAAACATACTTTCTTTGACACATGTTTATACCCTTATCAGAATGAGCAAACTCCAATCCTAGAATATATTTAAGGATTCCTAGGTCTTTAATAGTAAAACATGAGTCTAGATGTTGTTTGATGGCTGTAATTTTAGAAAGGTTATTGCCAGCAATGATAATGTCATCAACATACACCAGTAATGCAATAAAATCAGAATGTTCATTTAAAGTAAATAAAGAACAATCAGCAACAGATTGTTTGAAGCCATAAGTGAGTAAACATGTGGTGAGTTTCTAAAACCATTGTCTAGAGGCTTGTTTAAGGCCATATAGACTTTTAACAAGTTTACACACTCTTTTATCAGAAACAGAACAATATCCAGGAGGGGGAGTCATATGCACATCTTCATCTAAGTCCCCATGCAAGAATGCATTGTTAACATCAAGTTGATGCAAATGCCAGTTTTTAAGAGCAGCTAAAGCAATCAGAAATCTTACAGTAGAGATTTTTGCAACAGGAGAGAAGGTGTCAAAATAATATATTCCTTCTTCCTGAGTATAGCCCTTAGCAACTAACCTAGCTTTATATCTTTCTATGGATCCATCAGCTTTGTATTTTATTTTGTACACCCATTTACAACCAATGTAGTGTTTATCAGAAGGTAAATCAGTGAGGATCCATGTTTTGGTTTGTTCTAGGGCTTTAATCTCCTTATTCATAGCCTCTTGCCATAAAGGATTTTTGATTGCTTGAGCATATGTCTTAGGTTCAGTATGGCTAGTGATAGATGCAGTAAATGAACAATGATTTTGAGAAAGATGTGAAGTGGACAGATAATCAGATATAGGATATAAACATGTTCCAGAAGTGGTCTGAGTACTGTCTTGAGAGGATAAAACAGCATTTGAAGAAGGTAAGTTGTGTTGGTAAAGACTGAGATAAGAAGGTGGTTTTGTAGGTCTACTTGATTTTCTTCTGACTGGGGAAGTATTTGAAGATATATTATGGCCAGGTAGTTGTGGGTTAGAATTGGTGCTAGGTGGTTGGGTTATCTGAAGAGGTTGTTGTGGGATAACAGTGTTTGAAGGAGTATGCAAAGGTGTTGGAGTTTGGTTAGTAGGTATATTTGTTGTGGGTTGATGATCATAGGGGAATGGAGATGGTTCAGGAAATAGGAGAGAATTATTTGTAGGCTTAGCATCAAAAGGGAAGACATTCTCATAGAAGACCACATTTCTGGAAATTAATGTTCTCTTGGTGTCCAGATTATAAAGTTTATAGCCTTTATAACCAAGTGGATAACCAATGAGGATGCATTTAGATGCCCATGGGTCAAATTTAGATCTATGAGCATGTAAAGATGATGCATAGCATAAACATCCTATTACCTTTAGATGATCATAAGATGGTGGTTTATTGTAAAGTAATTCATAAGGAGATTTGTTATTCAAATCACAGATGGAACTCTATTGATGATGTGAGTGGCAACTAATATGCAATCAATCCAAAATGTCAAAGGTAGAGAAGCATGAAATAGTAAAGCTCTAGCAACTTGCAAAAGATGTTGATGTTTTCTCTCAACTCTACCATTTTGTTGAGGTGTTTCAACACAGCTAGTTTGATGTATGATGCCATTTGATGCATAAAAATCAGAAAGTAAAAACTCAGAACCATTTTCAGACCTTAAAACTTTAATTTTTGTATTAAACTGAGTTAAAACAAGATTATAAAAGTTTGACAGATGAGTTTTGGTGTCTGATTTATGCAGCAACGGGTATATCCATGTAACTCGACTATAATCATCAACAATGGTGAGAAAAAATTTATGCCCTGAGTGAGATGCAACAGAAAATGGTCCCCAAATATCACAGTGAATAAGTTCAAAAGGTGATGAACTAATAGAAGTACTGGATTGAAAGGGAAGTTTCTTTTGTCTAGAGAAATGACAAATATCACAAGGCATATTCTCAACACTTTTAATAGTAGACTTGCAAAGATCAAGTTTATTCAATTTGGAGTAAGACAAGTGACCAAGTCTGTGATGCCACAAGGCATATTCTTTTACAGGTAAAGAAGTAGAAGTTACATTTTCAGCAACATATACATGATGGTTTGGAGATACAGAAGATACATGAGAATTATGAACAGAAAGATGATAGAGGCCATCTTTAAGTTCAGCAAAACCAATCATTTTGCTGCTGGTCAAATCCTGTATGATACAGTTAGAAGAGATAAATTTGATGCCACAATTCATAGTTGCCACTAGTTTTGAAACAGAAATCAAGTTGAACTTGAAAGATGGAACATGTAAAGCATTATATAGCATTATGTTATCAGATAACTGTATGTTTCCCATATGAGTGGCAGTGGCATAAGAACCAGTAGGCAAATTGATTTTGATACAAATAGATTTGATATCATGAGTAAATAAAGAACTATCACAGATCATATGATCTGTGGCACCAGTATCAAGAATCCATGATGTTGCAGACAAATTAGATGATGCCATACAAGAGAAAGAAGACATACCTTGGTGCTCAGTGAATGCAGATGCAATGACAGGGTTAGGATTGCCAGAGGTGAGAGATCCCTGTCTAGCTTCCTGAGCCTTTTTAAAAGCTAAGAATTCACTAAACAAACCATCAGTCATGGAATGTGCATCAAAAGTGTTAGTATCAGTGGTTTGGGTAGGAGAAGTTGTAGTGACAGCATTGGCAGAGGGTAGTTTTCTAGGTCCCTTAGGGCCTAGCCAATTAGCAGGGTAGCCAATGATTTGAAAGCATCTATCAGCTGTGTGACCAGTGTAGCCACAATGAGAACATTTAGGTTTAGGAAAAGGCTTGGAATCTTTTGAGAATGGTGGCTTGTATGGTCTGTATGGTTGAGGATTTGTTTTTGCAGCCATGGCAACAGGTTCAAGTGTTTTGGTTGTGTTGGTTAAGGATCTTTGGCTTTCTTCTTGAAGAAGAAGTGAGTAGACAGTAGATAATGAGGGTAATGGTGTTGATAACAGGACATGGCTTCGAAGAGAAGAGTAGGAGTCATTTAATCCAACCAAAAATTATAACAGGACATGGCTTCGAAGAGAAGAGTAGGAGTCATTTAATCCAACCAAAAATTTCATCACAGAGTCAGATTGTTGAGCAGTGGCCATAGCATCATATAGATTACAAGTACAGCGAGTGAGAGCACCACAAATACATTTGAAAAGAGGTCTATATGTAACATACTCATCCCAAAGAGACTTAAACAGGTTATAGTACTGAGTTACAGACAAAGAACCCTGATCTATGGTGTTCAATGATTTTTCCAATTGAAAAACCCTAGGACCAGAACTTAAAGCATATCGATTCTTAATCTCATCCCAAACATCTTTGGCGGTTGTGAAAAACAACAATGATTGACGAATATCCTTAGTGACAGAGTTCAATAGCCATGATAGGACAAGATTGTTAGCCCTAGACCAAGAGAGATATAGAGATGAGTTACCAGACGATGAAGGAGGAACAACAGTACCGTCAATGAAACCGGCCTTGTTTTTTACGCTAAGAGCCATCTGAATAGCGCGACTCCAGGAGACATAGTTGTCGCCAGTAAACTGCTCGGCAACAATGAGAGCGCCTGGATTGTCGCTGGCGTGAAGATAATACGGTGACGAGATGTCATCAGTCGGATTGATGGCGGCCATCAGATCGATCGAGATTCAGCGAGTTTCAGAGTAGATCTAGGGTTGTAGTGCGCGAAAGTCACAAGAGCCACAGAGATCGAGTCAGCAGAAGCAAAACTGAGTCACAAATCAGAGATTTGTGACCTCTGATACCATGTTTGTGTATAGGTTTGCAGAGAAAAGATTAAGAAGACAAAAGGAAAACGAGAGAGAAGAAGAAGGGAGAAGAAAAGAATGAAAGCTGCGGAATTAGAACAAAAATGAAAATTAGGTTACAAGAGTTGTTTGGTCTCCTATTTATACCAAACAGTAAAATGCTAACTAAATGTAAAATACATCTAACTAAATACAAAATGCATTAGATAAAAATAGAGTACAACTTTAATAATACAAGGTACAACTCTAATACTAACCATCACATCACATCACATCTTCTCTCTTATTTTTACATCAAATTAATTTTAATCATTTTATTTTAAATATTATTTTAATTTACCAACTAACAACTAACCATACCAACTTTTTCAAATTTAACCAACCTAAACCAAAAAATCCAATCAAAACCAAAAAATTTTATATCCAAGCATGCTCTAAGCTTTGGAGCTTGGACAATGACATCAATTGCAAGCACAAAAACTTGTTTATGTAGCCAACATCATTGTCATTCTAGCACCATGCATACCCAAGAATAAACTGAAAGTGCAATACAAGATTTCGACACAACGTACATAGAAATTAAAAAAAAAAAAAAAAAAANAAAATCATCAAATTAGAGAAGACCAATTTCCTTGCATGAAGTTATTGCACCATCGTACATTTCTTTGAGCCCTTTTTCATACTCAAATCCAGTTTCCAGAAGTTTATTGCTGGAAATAGCTCGGAATGCAAAAGGCTTGAAATGCTTCAAGGACCTGCGTTGATATGATGGAATTGAATTTAAGAGAAAATAATTAAAAAAAAACCCCCATGGAATGCAGCAACAATATGCAATAGATTGTCTCATTAATCAAACTTACAACAGAATCATACTTTCAAACTTAAATGTAATATTTTAAAAAATAATGTAAAACATAACTATGACATTTCATAACATATACGACAGGTCGACCAGACTAACTTTTAGCCCTATACTTATGCAAGAATTTTGTGTACAAATAATAAGAAATGAGACTAATGAAGAATTTAAATTTTGAACTTACTCTGCAGTTGGCAGCTTAAGTTGAGGGTATGTAACAGCCAGAAATTGGTGCAATTGGTGTATGTTAGTATTTGTAGCTGAGCAAATGTATCTCCCCTTTGCGTTGGGATACTCGAAGAGATGAATATGGGCTCTAACGACGTCGTCCACGTGCACCAACCACGTGTTCACAAGCCTCTCATAGTACTTCTCATCCCCTTCAATTTTGAAGTTTTGGAAGAGGAAAAATGGACCCGATTTTAGTTATGTCGAAAATTTTGTTGTGTGTGCAATTTAATTAATATAGAATAATAATAAAAAAGATAACAAATGTTGGTTACTATTATTTTTTTTTTTTTTGGCTAAACTGTAAATTAAATCTCAACATTTTCACGGGTTTTCGATTTTTGAAAATCGAAAGCATGCAGTCAGCAAATGTAGAAACAAGTTTTCACACAACTAAAACATTGACTTTATTGCTTTTGTGTTGTGTTTTCATCGTAGTTATGATATTTTAATACGGAAATGCTCATATGCCCACGATGGGCATATGTTAATATGTCCACCGCTAATGTGGCATGCACACATTGGTGATGTTAATATGTTAAAAAGAATACATTATCAATGTGTGCATGCCACATAAGTCGGTGGGCATATTAACATGTGCCCACCGTGGGCATGTGAGCATTTCCCATTTTAATATTGTGTTTTCATCGTAGTATATTTTAATATGGTGACATTTATTTTTAATTAAGGGGAACGAGTAAGATCACAATTCAAAATTTTCTAATTTTTCCCAAATATAAAAAATCACATTTCCCAGAACTATTTTTTTTTTTCAACTTATTTAGATTAAAATTTCATCTTAACCCTTCACAAAAAAACCCTCTTAATAGAAAAGCCCCAAATTTCTGAGAAAACCTAATCCTCTAATTCGACCGTAAGGCGTGCCTTCCCCAGCACGGCCTTCGGGCCACCACGACGGCGGCGTCCTCCGAGCCGTGCGGTCGAATTTCGGAGACTCGTTGGAAGTGGCGGCGGCCTTTTCCTCGGGCGAGATGGCGGGTCCTCCGCTTAGGTTTCTCCTTCTTGCAGGTTGCCAAGGTGGGTCGGGGTCCGGCATTCGTCGGAGTCTAAGTGGTGGCGGGCTTCCGGCCAGGCTGTGAGTGAAGGTTGTGGCTCCTTTTATCGCCTCGGAGGTAGGTGATAGGTCGAAAAATGTGCACGTTTATATATTTAATGGTGTGTTTTTTATACATTAAATTTAATCGCACTTATATATTTTTCGACTTATTTATTTCTTTAGATGGATTCTGGTGCATTGATATATTTATGTTTTATTTTCAGGATATTGGAGTATTTTTATGGACGACGAAACGGGCCAAGGAATTACTAGTGAGTTGAGCTAAGGCTAAGTGATTAAGGCCTAATATTATAATTGTTTGAAGACTTGGGAGATTCACGCAAAAATGGGCTAAGATTATATACGGATCCAACAAGGAATAGGATTGAATTGGTGGGCCCTGTACATATGTTGGGATTATCTATCATTATATAAAAAAAATAACCTTTTTACAAATTTAGAAACTTTTTCCCGCCAAAATCATTAAATATATCCTACATATAGTAATTGTTGGACAAATCTGAATAGGCAAAAAAATCGGCTCATTAATTGTGTAAAGATTTGTTTCTCCTGTTTTTTAGTTTATCAAAACCGTTGTTTGAAAAAATCTCATCCCTTATCTATACAGATTTGAAAAAATAAAATAAAATAGAAACCAATTCATAATTACTACTAGAAAATCATTATATTTAAAAAAATAAAAAAATAAAATAGAAATCAATTCATAATTACTACTAGAAATCCATTATCTACTTTAAGAAGCTAATTTTCATCGGTCTAAATACTAATATTTTTACAAATATTATAAACTAACCATACAAAAAAGTATAATAATAATTTTGAGATGATGTGTAATCAAATTTTTTCATATTCTTTTATACAAAATAATTTTACATTGTTTTACCCCGAATCTTTAATTTATAATTTGTTTATCCTCCTTTTTAATTTATAATTATTTTTGTTTCTTCCTCTTTTTAAATAGGAGCAATAGTAGTTTTCGCTTCCGCCATTGAGTGATTCAAACTCGAGGTCTATTTATAATATTGTTAATTTAATATTATTCCCGTGCATCGCACGGGGTACACACTAGTTTTCAATAAAGAAAGTGGACATTCAATCCGTAATTGATCACCTAGATTAGGCTTTTCATATCTACATCTGAGTTAGACCTGCAATCCGTAATTGTTGTTGTGTTTAATTTATAAGAGGTAACCGGAAGATGGTAACTACCGGGGATAACACGGCTTATTTAAGTGAGCGAACGCGGTTGAGTTCACTACTTAGTCTAGCCTATTTTTCTAATTCGTAAAGGGACTAATTGTATTAAATCTTGAAAAGGACTGTACAAGAAGTCAGGTTTAATCGTCGAGCGTCTCGCGGTTAAATTAAAAATAAGAAAAAATTCGGGTAACAGACCGTGTCGTTGCCTAGGGCTAGTAATTTCATAAGATAGCGAGATTTGATACTAAAATTGATTAGACGAGTCGGTCGAGGTGTAGACAGAACCGTAAACTAGAAAGTTCTCTTCATTTATTTATTTTTATTTTTTTTTTCATTGTTTAGATTTTATTTGCTTCATTAGGATTTTAGTTAGTTTAGTTATTAAATTCAAAATCCCCCCTCTTTTATTGCTTTTATAATTCAATTAATACGAGAAAATTCACGATTTGATTCACACTCCCTGTGGGATCGACCGTTGCTCACTACTACTACTAGTTAGTAGAAGTCGGTTAAGGAAAATATAAATTATAATTTTGCCGCGTTGCGACGCGCGGTCAAATTTTGGCACCGTTGCCGGGGAGTGGCGATATTGAATTTTGATTTTTCAGTATTAATTGANCCAAATGAGCCAATTGGTGGACCAGATGGACCGACTAGTGTATCGGCTAGAAACGAGTCTAATGAGTTCGAGCGCCATCCATTCATACAGCGAGGACCTCGAGGAACTTGAAGAGTGCACACACGAGCCGGAGAACGAGAAAATCACGAATATCGAAAAGAATGAGAGCGAAAAAGAGAACCAAGCTGCAGAATATGGGGCTGAGCAGCAGAATACGGAGGTACCCCATACTCGACCTGCTGTAGCCAAAAAGCGTACCGTTCTTCCCACTCGTGCCGATAGAAGCTGAACCGTGTCCTATGTATTCTAATATGAAGTGGGTACTGAGCAAGGATGCCCTGAAGCATGTCTTGGGCCTTGATATACCTTCTCTTGAGAAGATCGAGCAAAACGAAAGGTGTGAATGGGATTTTGTTGAGGCGGTGACCGTGATCGAGCGTGGGTTGCTATACATCCTTGAGGAACTAGCGTCATAGAGGAAAGATCCAGTGAAGCACCCAACGCCCGAAAGAGGAGATGCCACCAAACATGGCGTGGTGAGATTTGTGCCTCCCTTGAGGCCACCTCCGAAGCCGCCATGGGTCCTTTGAGGAAAGGGAGCAATAAGTCGGGCCAACAACAATAAAAAGAGGCGCTTGTTGGGAGGCAACCCAATGGTGTGCGTGGTTCGGCGACCTTCTTCGCATTGACTAAGGTGAACTCGTTTCTTTTACCTCCGTTTTTGTTCATTTGAGTTTATTTTAGTATCTGTGATATATACAAACTCGAAGTTTGGGGAGGTGGTTTCTGGGTGAGCATTCATGATTTATTATGTTATTATATTTTTGCCCCTTAGAGTTTGAGTTCTTAGATTAATTTGCATGATATTTGTCGTATGTGAGCTTGAGATGACATGTACGTGAAATTTTGCGATGATGACATGAGAGTCGGTTTGGATTTATTATGCTAGTTTAAATGGCTTGAGTTAATTTTATTTGGTTAAATTCTTAAGGTGTTCTTATTTTTGGGGACAAAGGCATGAAGGTTGATATTTTTGTGATTCATTTGTCGTGAGTTGGTTTTGAGGCGATTTGTATTGTTGAGGTGTGCTTGTGGTTATCTTAATCAATGTTGATTAAGTTTGGGGACTTGAAGTTGAAAGTTGGGGTTTCTATGTCTCATAGTCGAAAAAAATAGAATAATGAGGATGGAGGAATAATTGGTGGAGTTGAAAGCCGTTTGGCACAGGAAAAAAAAAAGAAGAGAAAAAAAAGAAAAAAAAAGAAAAGCATGGGCTGCAACAGCTGCCAATCTGTGGGGGCTCTAGTATATAATTTCAATAATTTTCGTATCTAGACGAGCATGTTTCTATGTCTCATAGTCGAAAAAAATAGAATAATGAGGATGGAGGAATAATTGGTGGAGTTGAAAGCCGTTTGGCACAGGAAAAAAAAAAGAAGAGAAAAAAAAGAAAAAAAAAGAAAAGCATGGGCTGCAACAGCTGCCAATCTGTGGGGGCTCTAGTATATAATTTCAATAATTTTCGTATCTAGACGAGCATGAAAGGCTAAAACCCACGGGTTGTGACGGAGCTGCCGTTCCTTACTTCGAAAAAAAAGTGAGAACAAAAAAAAAAGAGAGAAAAAAAAAAAGAAGAATGGAGAATGAGACATTTAGACTTTGGCTAGAAACGGAAGGGAACTTGACTTGTTAGCAAAGAGAGGGGTGTCATGAGTTGCATTGATAGATACATTCGTTATAGAGATTGACAAACTGTGGTGGTCACTTGGATTGATACTTGATGTGTTTGAGTTCCTACAATGATTTTATCTTGAGTCCGGATAAATTGATTTGAGTTGTTTGAGCTATGTACTTATGTGAGAATTGTGTGGCCCTGACTAAAGTTCCACGAGTTTTCTTGTCCATCTATGTGCTTATAGTTCTAAGTTGCTTGGGGACAAGCAATGGTTTAAGTTTGGGAAGATTTGATAGGTCGAAAAATGTGGACGTTTATATATTTAATGGTGTGTTTTTTATACACTAAATTTAATCGCACTTATATATTTTTCGACTTATTTATTTCTTTTTTTTTTTGGTACAAAGAAGGAGGCCATAGGCCTAGGTGTTAGACGCGAGTTCGGCGGGGATAGGAAACCCCGATGGTATCATGCTGGAGCCATTCACCCAGAGTTGAAGGAGGAGTCGAAAGCACATGAAGGCCTATCGGATAGGAAGACGCTAAGCTCGCCAAGTGGTCGGGCGCAAAGTTAGCCTCTCTATGTACGTGTCGAAGGCAAACAGACCATTCCTTTTGTATCATTTGGCGAACGACCATGACTAAGGCTTCATGAGCCCCAAAATCCCTACCATTCCCTTGTATCATCTGTAACACACACTGGCTATCAACTTCCACAACAACTTTGCGAAATCCTTTTGTCCATGCAAGATGCAACCCCTGGAAAAGGCCCCACATTTCTGCTCCGATTATGGTACAAAAGCCGATGTGCATAATAAACCCCATAGACCATCTACCCATCTCATCTTGAAGGAGCCCACCCGCACTGCCGAGCCCAGAGGCCTTGTCAAATGCGCCATCAGTATTGACTTTAATCCACCCGGGATCCGGCGGGGACCAATAAATTAAGCGTGTCTCGAAACGATCCATTTCAGCCCCTATTTTAGCGAATCGCTGTGAGGAGTGAGTGTAGGACCGCAAGCGGTGCAACACCTCCAGTCGCCGCTCCTCGTATCCCGTGATACAACCATTAAAAATGCGGTCATTCCGCCACGACCATGCTCGCCAGACTACAATAGAGAAAAGGCTGCTCCAATGTTTGTGAGATCCCAAGCGAGGCAGTGTGAGATTACGTAAGACCCAAGACCGCAAGGGTGGCACAAAGAATTCTGTTGCATGGTCCGTCGGGATTAGCCGCTGCCACAGGGTCTTTACGAATGGGCAATCACGGACAACGTGCAGGACGGTCTCGCAGTGGCCACAAAAGTCGCATTCCTCAGAAGTGGAAAAGTGTCGTCGAGCCCGCTCCACGTTGGTGAGTAATCGCTCGTTGCACTTTAAGGCCTAATATTATAATTATTTGAAGACCTGGGAGATTCACGCAAAAATGGGCTAAGATTATATACGGATCCAACAAGGAATAGGATTGAATTGGTGGGCCCTGTACATATGTTGGGATTATTTTCCATAAAGAAAGTGGACATTCACGCCACAACCATCAGAGGAGATTTATTTGGAGGAAGTTTGGAATTAATTAAACTATTGGAAGGCAATAATATATTGAGAAGGATTTATTTTGATGGGAGAGTTTTATTTTTCACGCAAACACCCACGCAGCCACCCATCATTATTGAAAAAACAGAGATACGCAGCCAGGCATACGGGAATAAGACGCAGACAGAGGAAAAGTATGAGGAGCCCGATCAATCGCGGAGAGAGGCCGCACCCGTACACGAGAGAGATAATTAATCTCTCTCTTTTATTTATTTTTTCTTTTTATTTATTATGTTAGAGTAGTTTTTATTTCTAGTTCTGGGGAAGTTGAACATACGATTGATCATGTTTTGATTGATTATATGGTTGATGATTTTAATGTCTTTTTGAAATTGCTTGTGTTATTTTGAATAATTCACCATGATGTGTTGAGTTTTATTTAGATTGATCACCTAGATTAGGCTTTTCATATCTACATCTGAGTTAGACCTGCAATCCGTAATTGTTGTTGTGTTTAATTCATAAGAGGTAACCGGAAGATGGTAATTACCGGGGATAACACGGCTTATTTAAGTGAGCGAACGCGGTTGAGTTCACTACTTAGTCTAGCCTATTTTTCTAATTTGTAAAGCGACTAATTGTATTAAATCTTGAAAAGGATTGTACAAGAAGTCAGGTTTAATCGTCGAGCGTCTCGCGGTTAAATTAAAAATAAGGAAAAATTCGAGTAACAGACCGTGTCGTTACCTAGGGCTAGTAATTTCATAAGATAGCGAGATTTGATACTAAAATTGATTAGACGAGTCGGTCGAGGTGTAGACGGAACCGTGAACTAGAAAGTTCTCTTCATTTATTTATTTTTATTTTTATTTTCATTGTTTAGATTTTATTTGCTTTATTAGGATTTTAGTTAGTTTAGTTATTAAATTCAAAATCCCCCCCTCTTTTATTGCTTTTATAATTCAATTAATACGAGAAAATTCACGATTTGATTCACACTTCCTGTGGGATCGACCCTTGCTCACTACTACTATTAGTTGGTAGAAGTCGGTTAAGAAAAATATAAATTATAATTTTGCCGCGTTGCGACGCGCGGTCAGTAGGCGAGGTGGTAGTCAGGGCTGAGATCAGGGTGGTTTTACTCTCCTCCCTTCTCCCGTTTTGCTCTGCTTTTGGGGTCGTTGGGTTGTGTTAGCGGAGTCGGTTCGAGTCGAGGTGGGGTCTTGTGTCCTGGACCTGGGTTGTGTGGTCTTGGGAGGTGGAGTATGTTGTGGATCTCCGGTTGCGGATATTGAGGTTGTCTACCCGAGGGTTTGGGTTCTATAATATGAGATTTAGTTAGGCGATTTATCTGCAGTTTCTGGATTTGCGGCTTGGATCAGGTCTTGTTCGTGAGGGTAGTCGGCCTTGGGTGTCGGCGTCGTTGGTGTTCAGTTTGGCTACACTGCTGTGGGAAGGGCTTCATTTTTAGTTGTTTTGTGTGTGTGTGTGTGTGTGTGTTTGTTGCGTTTGTCGATTCTCCTGTTGGGGAGTGAATATTCTCCGGTTGGGGAGTATTTTGTATTTTCGTTTTCTTGTGTTGTGGTATTTAGGCTACCTATTGGTAGACCTCCATTTTTTTCGGCTATTGAGCCGGTTGTAAGTACGTATTTTAGTAATGAATTCTATCGTTTCGAAAAAAAAAAAAAGAACTACAAATTTTTTGTAAGGCTCTGTGTCTTCTTATATTTTATTTTTCCTTTTTTGCTCCACGCACCAAACATATTATCCCCTTGTAATCGGTTTGATAACCCTATTGTTTTAAATACCGTATCGATGATCATAACGGACGAGCTACCGGTACGCGGTTCAACTGGTTTTATTGTCTATGTTATCGGTTTTAGTAAATATTAAATTAATCTATTATTATAATATAAATAATGTATATAACTAACTATAGTGAATACTAAAATTAACTAAAATCTAATAACAATGTAAATATATTAAAATTAAGTGTCTAACTTTCTATTTATATGAATAAATTAATAAAAATATATATATTTTTAAATACGATATATCCGGTATTTTTACCGATATTTTGGCCAGTATTGTCCAATAAAACGGGTATTTTCCAATATAAAGCCAATATAAACCGATATTTCTGTCAAAACGGTATTTAGAGAGTAACCATACCGGTCGGACCACCTGTATCCAATATTATCAATAATATCGACCGGTACATATCGGTATTTAAAACACTAGATAACCCTATGCTTCTACTATTTGTAAAACTCGAAGATTTTGTATTCTTTTTATTGCTCAAATTAAAATTTTGAAATTAAATTGCATACGAAGCAAATTTCGGATAATTTAAGCTGTTTTTTGTTTTTTACATTTTCTTTAAAATTACGAATTATACGGAAGAATGGCATTTTCTAGGAGTTCGAGAATGGGGGAATCTATATATATATAATAAGAATTAACATTTTTTTAAAAATAGTAAGCAAAAAAATAGAGAATATTAATTGCATTCCATTTTTGGTATGTTTTTTTTATTTTTTTAATAAAAAAACAAGTAGCATTTAATGCTAGCATAAATCATGGGATTTGTTATATAGATGCATATTTAAATTTCAAACTTCAAACAAAATATGCCTAAATGTATTTTGAATTTTTTAGGAAAAAAATTTAGCAAGCACGTTTAAGATTACATACAATACATATTTTTATATGTTATCTTAACATATAGGTTAATTAGTTTCATATCTAAACAATATATATTTAAACAATATATAAATAAATATAACAATTTTTCGTATAATACAGACAAATATATAAACAATATATTTATATACAAATATAATAAACAATACAACAAATATACAAACAATATATAAACAAATATGATAACTTGTCCGTGTATATTTGTACAATACATATATTTATATATATTATCTTAACATATAAGTTAATTAGTTTCATATCTAAACAATATATATTTTAGGAACCTAAAGATCATAACATTACTGACGTCATGTATATTTATAATATATTTTCACGTATATTTTACTATAATTGGTAACTTTTTTAAAATTATTTGAATAACTGGAGGTTGATTTGTAATTTAAATTTCAAATTCATTCAAACATTTAAAGGAAAATATCATAAGCAGATTTTTTTGATACATTTCATTTTATCTCAACTTACATATAATCACGTTTCTACCAAACATTAAATTTGCTTATATCTTTTTAAATTAATTACATTAACAAATAATATTAATATACATTAAATATTTATCATTATATAACAAATATATTACTTCTACAAGTGTTATAAATAATAATCACATTATATGATAATAAATTTTTTGATAGATTAATAATTGAGTATTATGATGAACCAAAATATGTAAAATTATTATTATTTTGTATTAAAAAATTAAATATATATATTAAAATATTATTTATAATAATATTAATAGGTCAACATGTTAATATATTGTAAAAATAAAGTTTAAGAAAAAAAGTTCTCACTAGTTGCTAGTAGAAGAGAGGAGTCTGAATAATTTAAAGAAAGAAAAAGGTCAACATACCCAAAATTAAGGCCATTGATATTTGAACCGAGTCCGGACATCGTGGACAAATGAAGGGCCCGTGAATCCAGGATGGCAGCACCGTCACCACATCCAATCCATTTTTCTCCCCAAATTCCAAGGCCAATTTCTCCGTCACCGTCTTCGTCGCCATGTACGCCGCCCCGAACGGCTTCACCGCCCTCAAAAACTCCAGATCGCTCCACGACCCCTCGTCCACCGGTCCCCCGTCGCCGGAGAAAACTCCGCCGTTGAAAACCGCCGTCCCTATGGTGGAGGTGTAGACCACGCGCCGCACGGTTCCGGCGTCGACGCACGCCTGCAGGATGGCGCGTGTCCCGCTGGTGACCCGCCGGATCTTCACCTCCTCCGGTTCTTTCTCCTCGAAGTCCAGCGGCGTCGCGACGTGGAAGACCCCGGCGCATCCGTCGATGGCGGCCGCGAAGGCTTCGGGGCGGTCGAGGTCGGCGGAGAAGATCCGGAGGCGGTCCGACGCGCCGGGGAGGCTCGTGAGGTAGGTAATGTCCCTTTTGCCCTCTGTGTGATAGAAAGTGTGGTTAATGGATGATATTGTTTCCTTTTTTTAATTGCAAACAAACAAATTAATTAGGTCAGTTAAAAAACAAATTGAAGCTCAATTGTTTGTACTGAGCTTCAATTGTACCTGGATGAAGCCTTGCAGTTGTGTTGACATGATAGCCACGTTGAAGAAGGGTTTTAACCATCCATGATCCAAGAAAACCAGTTCCACCGGTTACGCATACTCTTCCCCTTTTCATGGAGCTATTACCTGCTGCTTTCATCTCCACCGTTAATCTCCGACTCTCTCTTTTTCTCTCTGACGACTTTTTTAAATATTCTTTAGCTGCATTTCGTAGATCTTTGATGCTTTTCAAAGAATAATAATTTCGTATTTGAGTATTCAAGCGCGGTGTGCATTTATATTTATATATTGTTGCAGTTTAATTTAGTGGTCAGTGGTGATAATTAGTGGTCAGTGGTCTCAGTGGTGATAATTATATATATATTTATTTAGTGGTAAGTGGTGATAATTATATCGTTTGTAGTACCGGTGGAAAGAGTAAAAGATGTCGGATTCGTGTTGTCAGACAAAATTGTAATTTCTGTCCTGTAATTATATCGTTTGCAGTACTGGTGGAAAGAGTAAAAAGATGCCGGGCATGTGGCAAAACAAGACAGTTTCTTTTCAATTTTGTAAAAATGCCATGGAACTTGTTAAAACGTGGAACCCGTGCCTAATTTTAGATCTGGTAACCTAAAATGACCGGTAAGTGCTGACTAGATATTTTTTAGCCGACGTGGATGCTCGCGTGTCTGGAACCTCAATATAATCGACATAACACTCATTTTCAGCCCCAAATCAAATCCTTAAAAACCTAAATCGACTCAGAAATCCTAAGTTGCGAAGTTCTTCATTCAACCCGAAATTGCGAAGTCAAATTAGTAGTCACTTGGAGATGTTGTATTCTCCAACTAAGAGGAAACCAGATACCGATCCACCTTCTTACGGTAAGTGTGTATGTGTTATTTTTAATGAAAAAATGTAAATGTGCGGTCTTTATTTTCGAAATATGTAGTCTATTTCTTTTAGATTATGTATATATATGTAGATTCTGGGGTTATTTGTTTGAAGAAACGTCTGAAGAAGACTTGTCATTTTGAAATGAATGTGCTCCCTGTTTGTATGTTATTCTAATTGCATTTTGTTACTTTATTTTGTGTTACAGAACGTGGATCCTACCAGCTGACCGTTGACCTACATTATGGGGGTAAGTTTCTTCACAACCCCTTTGCAATCTATAGAGGTGGGTCTCAAATATCATTTGATTATGTGGATGTCAAAAGTATGGACATGGTTATACTTAAGGGGTTAAGTGATTATGTGGTACCACAAGGGTCTGATAGGATGCATTACATGTTGGGTTCGCCTGTACCGTACGGGTGATTTGCAGCGGAATAAATTTTTTTTTAAAATAAGTATTTATCACATAAATACTTAACCCGTAAATACATAAAGCGAATAAACAGATCGTCATCATTTAAAAACATGTATAAATACAAATTTTGATTTAAAGATAGTTTCGAAGTTACCTTTAACTTGAACTCCTTCAACTTTGACGATGATAGAGGAAATCAATTCCCGATTTAGTAATGATTAATTCTTCTTGTTACTCACTTTAGGAATCCAATCGTCTTCCCTCTAATAGTATCCACCTTTAGAAATTCAATCTCGAGAACTAGTTTCTTCGCTAGTAGAAACTTCTCAATTTGTTCAATTAGTATCGGAATATTTATTTTAGAGGAGATTATAATTTTAATCTTTATTAAAATTTTCAAGAACTATTCTTGATACGGAAATAATTTTCAAAGTTCAAGAACACTTCTTGATTCACAACTCTTGTGATTTTTCTTTCTCAATTTTTCTTGTTAATACAAGTGTGTGATTTGTACATCACATATGTACACCTATTTATACTAAAACATTTAGAATATACTAAAACATTTAGATCACAAGATGTCATATTGTATTTTTAAAATCATTATTTTATTCAAATTAGATGGCATCTAGATCTAAAATGATTTTAATAAAAAATATCATAGATCCCATCTAATAATATTGTATTTATTATTATAATCTTTAATCAAATTAAAGATTAAATATTATGATCAAAATATATTATTTCACATATTTATAAAATCTCCTTTTATTATAATCATATTATAATATGGATTTGAATTTTAAAATCTAATTTTAAAATCCAACTATTAATTTCGTAATTCCATTAATTACCGAATTAATATCCAAAATATAATTAATCAATCAAATCGATTAATTTAGTATATTCCTTTAATTGATATCTAATCAAAATTAGAATTAATTAAATAATCAAATTATTTAATTAATACTTATCAATCAATTCTAACTCTTTAGAAATACTAATTTCAAATGATCTACATTCAAAATTGGGTGTGACCTTTTAGGTTCACTATTAATACTAGTAGTGGGTTTACAACCTTTTGTAATTTGAATTAATCTTATTAATTCTTATTCATGAAATTAACTCCTTAATTTCAAGAACCCACATATCATGGGAACATCTAGCAAGTAGCATGAATCTAATATTAAGTGAATAGTGAGTAAACCTTTTCGATTACAAGTCCATACATGTAAAATCCTTTCGACATCCAATTTCCCGATTAAATCTTGGGTATGATTTTATAAGTCGAAACCCAATTGATTTAATAACTATGATTCCATTTCAAGTTTAGTAATTCGTGTATGAATCTCTATTCATCCCGTCTTGGGCAAGGATTTTGAATTACAAATAATGAAACACATAGAAAATTCACTTATCACATAAGTGTCGAATCCTTTGTTAGCCACTGACAAACCTTCATACATATTAATACAATACCCAAAATATCCCTTTATACGATTGTGCTAGCAACCAAAAGGATAAATCAAAGTAAAGTATAACATGCACAAGATTACCATCGTGCCTCAAGTCATAGGATCAATCATGTACTATTGTAACATGAAAATTCTTATTCGATAGAAAAACTTACATTAAGAATTTTCATACGGTCATGTTCAGTGAACTTGTTCTCTAACAAACACCTACATATATGAACTTGCGTCCCACGCTAATGTTGATGGAATGCAACATCTTGACCATCAAGCATTCATCATATGTACAAGTCTTTCCGAATTATTCGATATCCCATCTCGAAATATCCAATGACTTGGAACTATTTTTAAGCTCACAGCTTTTAAGATATGTTCCATGATCACCATCTCTATGCGCAACCATACCTCATAGCTATAAGTGATCTAGGGACTTTATCATATGTGCAAATATAGGATAAATGCTAATACATAAGATAAATTAATGCCTATTCATTAATATAATTCCAATAGATTGTATTTACAAGTAGAATATATCCAATCTGATTGGAATGCCGGGTATTCTACTCTAACATTACATGTTGCTGAATAATTGTTTTAGGGCATTAAACACTGATGAAGTAGTGAAGTCTTGGTTTATTAAACATGTTGGTCTAAAACAGATAGATATATATGTTGATGTGAAGTGTGATGTTGTTGTTGAAAAAGGAGATGAGGGTGAAAAAGAAGTTATGGGTGGGGAAGATTCTGTGGATGCATTTGTTAATGAAATGATTGATGATGAGGTTGATGAAATGACTCAAAATGAGGGAGAAATAGGTGATGAGGTGTCTGATGATTCGCATGACAATGATTATGGGATGGAAGAAGAATGTAGTAATGATGATAGGATATTTGATAGATTTGTTGATGAAATCCCAGATGCAGATGATAGTGATTTCAATGAAGAAGATGTAGTTCATAATGAGCCTCAATTCAATGAAGCAGATGATGGAGAAGAAGAGAGCATACCCATCTTTAATCCTGCTACTGTCTATGACCCAATTTTTAAATTGGGTATGTTATTTAGTAGCAGGAATGAATTCAAGAAGACTATGCAATCTTATGGTGTGGCTTATAAGAGGAGTGTCAGGATCACTAAAAGTGATCCATGCAGAGTGTGTGTGAGGTGTTATGAGGAAAGTTGTCCCTTCAAGTTGCATCTTTTAAAAGTTAAGAATGAAGAGAGTTTCTTTATTAAAGACATTCATGAGCAGCACACATGTCCCACTACATTCAAAGTTAAGAATGTGAGGACTAATTGGCTCACTGAGAAGTATTTGTCACAGTTTAAGTCTGATCCCAACAGAAGTGTCAAAGGGTGGAGAAAGGATACTGTGGAGCAACTTAGATGCAGTGTTTTTAGAGACCAAGCTTATAGAGTGAAGAGAAGAGCTCTTAAAATTTTGCTGGGTTCTTCAGATGAGCAGTATTCTAAACTGTGGGATTATACTGAGGAGTTGAGAAGATCTAACCCTGGATCCACTATTGTTTTGGGAACAGGTGATGATGTTAATGGGGATAATAGGTTTAATAGGTTGTACATCTGCTTTGATGTATTGAAAAAAAGGTTTTTGGCAGACTGCAGACACATAATAGTAATAGATGGATGTCACCTAAAGGGTCCACACAAAGGTATCTTATTAACAGCAGTGAGTGTAGACCTTTATAACAATTTGTTTCCTATCTCATTTGTTGTTGTGAGTGGTGAGACCACTGAAACATGGGGCTGGTTTTTGACAATTCTGAAGAGTGATTTGTGTATAGGGTTGGGCAATGGCTTCATTATCATGTCTGACAAACAGAAAGGACTTATTCAAGCAGTTGCAGATGTCTTTCCTTTAGCTGAACATAGGCATTGTGTTAGACACTTGTGCAATAATTTCCAAAATGCTGGGTTTAGAGGGCTAGCTTTCAAAAATGCATTGTGGAGTGCTGCCATGTCAACAACTAAGGTTGAGTTTAGCCAAAAAAATTTCCCAGCTGAGGGACTTAAATGAAGCTGCATGAGAGTGGTTACCTGATAAACCACCAGAGCAGTGGTCAAGGTCCCATTTTAAGGAAGATGTGAAGTGTGATATGTTGCTGAACAATTGTTGTGAGACCTTCAATTCCAATATATTGGAAGCTAGGGAGGAGCCAATAATAACAATGTGTGAATGGCTCAGAGGTTATTTGATGGAAAGAATGCAAAAAAAATAGGGATAGAGCAAGAAAATGGAAGGGGATTCTATGTCCTAGAATATTAGAGATTGTTGAGAAGCATACAAATGGTGTGGCTGACTGTTATCCAGTGAAAGCAGATGATTGGCACTTTGAAGTCAGATGCAGCAATGGTGCTCAATTCTGTGTGAATTTGATTTACAAATCTTGTACATCATGGTCATTGTCAGGTATACCTTGCAACCATGCACTTAGTGTTGTTTTTTATCAGAAGGGTTCTATTGAGGACTTTGTGTCTGAGTGTTACACGGTTGAAAAGTACTTAAATGCATACCAACACACCATATATCCAATCAATGGTGTTGCTCTGTGGGGCACTCAAAATTTTGTACCCCCAATGCCACCAAACTTTGGAAGAGGTGCAGGAAGACCACTAAAAGCAAGGAGAAGAGAGGCAGATGAGCCTTCTTCTAAACACAAAACAAAGCTCAGAGCAAAAAATCTTACCAGAATGAGGAGGCAGCAAACATCTCTCAATTGCATGAAATGTGGCACTTCAGGACATAATTCAGCTACATGTAGAAAAAGGAAAAAGGACCTAAATGACTGTAAGTGTCTTTAATATTGTTTTAATTGAAAATAATCATAAAATTTTAATAACTTGGTAATTTGTTACTTCAGCAGGTATGTGTTAACAACTCCCTCAACCAACAAGCAAGCTCCTTGAACCCAACAGTTTTCACACAAGAGATCCCCACTCAACAATCCCCGACTCGGTTTATGCCAACTCCACAGCCACATGTGCCAGACCCATCAATGTATGATCAACTAATGGGTACCAACATGCCACAACCATCAAGAGCTACACATGGACCTATTATCAGAGGGCCTGCAGCTTTCACTGGAGAAAGACCATTATTCTCTGCAGGAAGTAGCATAACATCAGTCTCTGCAGCTTCAGTAGTGGTGGTTGACCAGGGCAAGCAATTCATGGTACTCAACCGGCAAGACAAGGCAAAAAATGATCCTGTGTAGTTTTTATGTTGATGTTTAGGTTTTGGATTTTGTTGGTAATAGGTGGTTGGCAATAGCAGGTTGTTGTTTTTGAGAACTTAATGGCAGATCTTGTTGGTGTTTATTGTGGATTTAGATTGTGGATTTTGTTGGCAGTAGCTGGTTTTGGTGTTTGTGAAGTCTTTGTATTGACAATTGTTGGTTTTTGTTTTGAACTCTTTGTATTGCCAATAACTGGTATCTTTTGAACCTTTTGTATTTGGCAATGAATGAGAATGAGAATTATTGCTTTTTAAAATGCTCTTGTGTATTTATTTACATGGTTAAGTAATTGTGACAGCATAATTACAATAGGTTTAAAATTTAGTAGTACACATCAAACACAAACATAACAATACACAAGTTAAATTCAACAGAGCCTTTACATTCCATTAAACTTGAAACACATGAATACATTGGTTCAATATCTCTTACAATAACTTAAGATATCCAAAACTCAACATCACACATTAAACCATTACAGTGCATGTCCCTAAAATAAGTAGTACACATCAAACCAACATAACTTTAATAAGTACTACAGCCATTACACCCTAAAATAAGTACTACAACTACTAGCATTACACATCAAACCAACATTTTCATGCATGTCCCTTGGGGCATTCTATCCCCAGTGCAGAACAACAAAGTGAAAATAAGAAGTACCAACAACAATTACATTTTTGACCTTTTCTTCGCTTTTTTCAAATTGTTGACTTGTGCTTTCAGAATCTTGTTTTTTTCGATCAAATTAGAAAGCTTAGTAATTTCGACTTGCATCTTCTCAATTTCCACTTGCATCATTTTGATTTCATTTCTTTTTTTCATTCACTCTGTTCAGTAAGCCTGAGATAATTTGTTGAGACCGATGACACATAGATGGCTCAGCCCAATTAAAGTGGTTACATCCTTTCCTCTGTCAAAGACATAAAAATAATATCTTGAACAGAAAAATTGAGAAATGTTAGAACAATTGGGGAAAAAAATCGAAACTTACTACATTCCTGTTAGAACAGGAGAAAAATCTTCTTCCACAGTTGGGATACTTCCATGAAGTTTGACTACCCGCAAGGATAATCGACATGTCCAGTAATCTCAGACATCAATTTCGATCGATTGAAAAGGAAAATGTTAGGGTTTCTGAATCGATTTAGGTTTTTAAGGATTTGATTTGGGGCTGAAAATGAATGTTATGTCGATTATATTGAGGTTCCAGACACGCAAGCATCCACGTTGGCTAAAAAATATCGAGTCAGTACTTACCGGTCATTTTAATTTACCAAATCTAAAATTGGGCACGGGTTCCACGTTTTAATAAGTTCCAGGGCATTTTTGCAAAATTGAAAAGAAGTTGTCCTGTTTTGCCACAGGCCCTGAGTTACAAGGCAGAAATTACAATATTGCCCGTGTTGTCATTATATGTGCTTATTTGAGGCCTCGTTTGTTTGTGGTTGTTGATTGGATTTTGAGTGGATTAAGGTTTTATCCCGAGTCAATCATAGGTTTGTTAATAAGGATTGTAGGGTCAGGAAGGGCTCGAATCTTTAATATCATATGAATATGATTATTCATCCACTTGGTGGGGGTGTGATGGAAATTATCATTTTGGGATTACTACATGTTATTTCGAATGTATCTATAAAACTTTTCAGTTTTAGACCTTTTCTTTAATATAATTTTTGTAATAAACATATTATTTTAGATAATATATAGTGTCGCATTTTAAAAATTTTAATATTAATAAAAATGATTATAAAAGTATTCAATTTCATCACTATATTAGTTGCATACAGTGAAATAGATAATATAGTTTTTATATATTTAACGGATCACGACCTATTATTATTATTATTATTATTATTATTATTATTATTTATAAAATTTTAAGAAGTTTGGTTATACCACTAAAGCCAAATTAGCTTATTAAAAAATACTTAATACCAATAAAAAGTTTAAGAAAAAAATTTTTGCAATCTTATTTTTTATACTTATTGAACTTCCATATATCATTTAATATGAATTATAATTGATTAGTTTTAATAAAAACTATTATATAATAGAATAATTAAAAATATAATTATATTATATTTAA